TGGGAGCAGAGTTTCCCTCCGATGGCCAGTCAGAGTTGAGCTCAACTAAATCACTCAGGGAGTGATGCTGTTTTAAATAATGGCCATATCTTGGTTTATTGATGAATCGGATCTTGCCTTGTAAAGGGGTTTTGCAAACAAACTCGGATACACACCTCCCTCAGGTATGAAGATGCTGATTTTGTGGATAAGAAAATATCCATGTGCAGTGACGTTGATTCTAACTTGCGTCATTGAGATATGATGAATGTGTCTTGTCCAGTCAGTGTGCTGATTAAATATATGGGTCATGTTTCATTTAATCCTTGTTAATCTTTCAATGTAACAATAATATTCATTTCACTTCAGTAATTTGAGCACAGATTATTCAGACATTAATATTAGTATTCATATAACATTTGTTCATTCAACCATATTATTATTTAATGATTATTGAACTAGAGTTGTAAATCTATTAAGGTAGCGCGACTCATGTTGTGAATGACCGCAGTCACCAATTCTCATTTGTCTTACCCATAGGGTTGTCACGGTATGAAAATTTAACCTCACGGTTATTGTGACCAAAATTATCACGGTTTTCGGTATTATCGCGGTATTTTTTAAACGGTGTTGCATATGTTCAGAAAGCATTGATAGTCCTGTTCTACACAAACTGAAATAGTTTAGAAAAGGTGTAACAGTGTTTATTAAACCTAAAATAACACAAAGCCTTAGCAAAAGTGCAACTTTTCACAAGTAAAGGAACAAATAGCTTCTTTTTCTGGAACATGTTACAGTAGTCAGTGCAGGTTTAAATTATACAAATCCAAACATTCAAAACATAAACAATATGTAAACAAATCAAAGAAACACCACTTGTTTTCTCATATACTTGTTTTCTTCATTATCAAAATGAAAATCTAAAACTCCAGTCCACAGTTGACTTGAGCACTGTACAAGTCAGCCTTAAAATATATGTATTTAAAATAAATAGCCACTTTAAACAAATTACTAAAATAACTACTACACTATGTAATCAAATCCAAATGTTCAAGTATAAATGGCATTGAATAAGTAAACAAATCAATGACAAGGAACTAATTGTATATTTCTCTTCATCATCAACAAATAAGATGCTTCATCCAGCAACAGGGTGTCCGTGACACGGTTTAAATGCTGGCAGAGGACGCTGCGGCTGCAGTATGTAGTGACTCGTTGCATTCTCCCTCAACCAAAAGTCCTCACGTCATGCATTTAAGCTAAAATGCTAATGTTAACTTACCTTGCACTGGCTGTAGAGACGTGGGTGATGGTCACGCAGATGTGCCATTAGATTCGAAGTGTTGCTGCCTTTTGCAGACACTTGTTTCCTGCACGTTCTGCAAACGGGATAGCCGTCTTCTATTAACTGTCCCTCAGCATTTTTCAGAAATCCAAAATATGCCCATACTTCCGATTTAGTCTTCTTTGAGGGATGATGGATGTCCTGGGCGCTGCCGTCTCCTCCTTCGGCCGTTATTTCAGCTTCAAAGTTTTGGTGCCGTTGCAAACTAAAAAGTGTGTGCGCGCGCCGCGGGAACTTCAGCTGAAGCGACGGTGGCTGGTAAGGGTCACCGCGCCGAAACCGCGGCCACGGTAAACCCACCGAGATAATTTAGTTTTTTAAAAACTGGACGGTTATTTTTATTGTCAACTTTTTTACCGGGGTTTACCGCTATACCGGTTACCGTGACAACCCTACTTACCCATGTATGTCTGATCTCTGAATTGTGTGCACTGAAACTCAATTTCGTTTCTCTGTATGTCCTGCGCATGTGGTAGAAATGACAATAAAAACGACTTTGACTTTGAAATGTTCTTCTGTCATGAGAGTGAGCAATCCTGCGGTCTAATCAAATGAAGGCTTTGTTTGGGAACATAGGCTGACATTGCTCCCCCTGAAATGTCAACAAGGGCTGCAGAATCTTCTGGGCTTTAGAAGACAGAATAGAAGAAGGCTTTGTTTGGGAACTTTATCTGTTTTTACAGGACCATAGCGTTTGCAAAATGGGATTTGCCGCAGTTCCCTGGGGCGTATTTTGGCATTTATAATAGCAAAGCTGAAGCTAGAATAAACTGCCATCAGGCACCTCTCAAACCAAGACGGGATAAAGGGAGGTCGCTGGGCCGCATTCAGTGTCAGACGGAAGACACTTCAGACTGATGAAATTTCTTTTTCAGGACCTTAAGCTTTGATGTGACCTGCTTTTTGTCCCGCTTGACGCCCCGCTCAGCCAGTGTTTTCACCACTCTGTCAAACAGCTGGCTGTCTCTCACCGTCCCTGTAAAAAGGCGACTAATCTGTTCGTCTCTCGCACGGCCAAAAGCTCCAAGGTCTCCGCGTCCGTCCAGTTTGCCATGTTGTAGGTGGTTGATACTAGTGAGAGGCCATGTTTATCTGCGTTTATATCCCTTCCGGCTGGCACTCGTCGTGCAGTATACGTCACTAACGCGACCAACCTCTTTTGCGGGGGGGTGCCTCCCACAGTCGCTCCAAAGGGATTAGCGGGGCTGACACGCGTTTAGCCGTCAGAGGAGAGGGGCTCATGCGACAATATTACTACGAGGCTAAGGGCATCCGAATCGAGTTTTATCACCTTTCCCCTTTGCTCCTTACTGCATTTATTAGACCCACAAATTAGGATTTATCACTCTGTAATGAGTAGCTTGCATAGTGGTGACAGAGCACAACCAGACAGTGCCAAATGCTCTGGTATAGAGCACAGCTGTGTTAGCATATCAATGACCCGACCTACACCACAATGTGAAGGTGGTGGGGGAAACTGAGCTGATCCCAAAGCCAGAGCAGAGGTGCAAACGGGGTGAACCCATGCTGCTGGCTGCATCACAGCAGGCAAGAGGCCCAAATAGACCTGGGAAAAGTGTTCAAGAAGGGTGGGGGAACATGTGTGAGGAAAAAGCAGGTTTATCTGAACTATCTGCTGAGGTGGACTTTGCCATGATTTTGCTCTATAGAGGATGTTTCTGTTTTATTTCAAAATCAACATCATCATGAGATAAAACTATCAGAAACACAAACATTCCTCCCAAGAACTAATTTTCTGGATTGCTTCTTGCAAGCATCTTGGAGCTGGTGAGACCAAGTCAAAGTCTTCTGGCAACTTCTCCGGAGCAGCTGAGCAGCAGTAATTAGATTTGTCTTTACCTTTGGCTGACATGTTTCGGCCGGGAATTCCGCCTTCATCACAGCCGCTAACTGTTCGTGGCGTCACTTCCCTTTATGTGAGGGCAGCAAAGGACGATGTCGCCCTCTGCTGACCGCATCCTTCATGCTCTGGCAGCAGAGGGCGACATCGTCAATCAAAAGCTTTATTTATCGTCCTTTGCTGTCCGCACATAAACGGACGTGACGCTATGAACAGCTGGCGAAGGCGGAAGTTCCGGCCGAAACATGTCAGCCGAAGGTAAAGAAACATCTAATTATTTAACTGTGTTAAATAACACAGAACGAATATACAGAAGAGTGCTGAGCAGCATGCTGCACATGGAGGCAGCAGAGGGAAGCTGGCTCTGAGATGGATCAGGAACCACCGGTCATTTGAAGCTACCCTGCTGGCGGTCGTCCGATCCTCTGAAGGGGCGGCCAGGTTGGAAAGCAGTTCGAGGCTGTACCAGGTCACTAACAGAGGCAGAAATCTCCACAGTTTTCTGTGCTCTCTTGTTTGTGTTCCTTGAAGTGAGGGCCAAACAGAACGTCAGCTGATGGAACCCTCCAGTATGTCCTTTTACAGGTGTTCAGGGATGGAGGGCAGGGCGTGGAGCCACAGAGCGTGTTGGATGAGTGTCTGCCAGGTGATGATCTGGGCAGCTGGGCAACTGCTTAGAGATCCCAAAGACAATAAGGGCAACATTGGCAGTAGCGCCCATCTGGAGTTACTGTATATCTTCACCCTAAACAGCAGCAGCAGTTCCACTGCCAAGGTAGAAATGTGAGGATAGCCCCTATTGGAGAAGCGTTTCACCTTAGTTATGGGAACATAGGTGGAGATTGGAGCCTTGAGCTTGGCAGGCACAACTGAGGTTTTGGCTCAATTGCCCATGGCAGCTGGGAACAGCGGCAAGATGGTGTCAGGGCAGTAGACCTGTATAGCTGCCCAGAGGGTGTAGCAATTTCCTGCCACTTCATGCAAATGTAGTGGAGCCAGTTTGGGGACGGCTAAACCCTTGTGGTCAGTGGCCTCTGATGATGACCGGTAGCTACTGAAGCAGAACTCTGATAGCTTAGTGAAGACCAGAGAAAGAACGCAGAAGCCCATCCTGGTGCTGACCCATCATTGGCCTCCAGACAGTCAAGAAGGGAAGTGTCAGCAGGGCCGAGGCTGCTGACCTCGTCTTCATTATTTTAAGCTCGGGCAGAATTATCCAAATCCAGCCCAGCATAAAAAAAACGGAAGCGCTTTTGTCCAGTAAATAATTCTCTGTAACCAAAAAGATGTCTCCAGCCAGGAGGCATCCTAGCTAGATGCCGGAGCCACCTCAACTGGCTCCTCTCGATGTGGAGGAGCAAGGGATCTACTCCGAGCTCCTCGAATGACGATGATTTCATAAAGCCTTAGACAACTTAGCTCCTAGGGTCCTTGGGACACACAAACCTCTCCACCACGATAAGGTGGTGGCCGTGGGAGTTTTATTTAAAGTATCAAATATTATACTTTTAACTGCAAATGCAGTGTCAACCAGTTTTATTTTTACTTCAATCTCAACACTTCTTGTTTTTTTCTTTTCACCGACTTGTAAGCACCACAATAATGATTAATGCTTAATTTCAGAAGTATGCATTATGTTGTTGCAAATTGATTGATCAAGTGACACAGTTTCAGATTGTTGTAACATTTACTGCTGTTGGTTTTCGATTTAACAGGCTTGGCTGAACAAAAAAAAAAAAATTATTTTATTCAGCCCCAAAATGCAATGTAGACTTGCTCCAAAAATTTAAATCAGCGCCACTTTATTAATTATATTTTGCTTCTTTGTGTTTGGTTGTAATGCAGCTGCATTGTTTTTCCACATACAGGTAAAAAAAATAAAAAACCTGAATATAGTGCAAAATTTTATTTATTTCAGTAATTATTTTTTTAAGTGAAACTAATATATGATAGACTCATAAAATGCAAAGCAAGATATTTCCAGCCTTTGTTTGTTATACTTGTGATGATTATACTTAACAGCATTATGAGATTTTGAAAAATCTAAAAAAAACTAGACTATTTCATGTAATCAATTTAACAAGGATGAGAATGAGGATGAGACACATAAATGTCAGACCCCTGAAAAAGTATAATCATGCATATGTACTCGGTACTCGGCCCTTTAACTTTTACATACATTTTTGTACAATATTCAAATTTTTTGAGTTCACGTGTATTAAACCAAAATACAGAGAATAAATACAGATAAGAAATTAGGGAAAATTACAAATGAAATATTAAAGGAAATTGTAAATAATTCTAAGAAAAGTATGACAGTAATTCTAGACCCCTGTCAGTAGCTGACAAACAATTACCGGTATGTTTAAATTTGCTCAGGCATAGTGTGTGCAGCGGAAAACATTCTTTCTGATGTCAGAAAAATATTTTGACACTTGTCCTTTCACATTAAAAAAATGGGTATTTAAGTAATTTTTGTAGTAACATGTATTATTCTTCTAGACCATTTAATTTTCAACATTTCTTTGATGTCTTGAGTTTTGAAACAGTAAATGAGTGGGTTGACAGCAGCAGGTATATGACTGTACAACATTACAATGACAATATGAAGTGAAATATTGAACGTGAATCCCACAAAATTTGCCAGGTACACGAAGCATCTTGGAAGATAGAAAAGACCAATAATGATGAGTTGTGGTGTGCAGGTAGACAGGGTTTTCATGCGACCCATGGAAGAGGACTTTCTCAGAACAACAATGATGACAGAAGAATATGATAAAATGATGAATCCAAGAGGGACTATCAAAGAAAACATAGCAAATCCCAGTGCTAGACTTGCATTAGCTCGTACATTCTCACATGAAAGGCTTCTTATTGAATTAAGGTCACAATAACACTGAACAATTATGTTTGAATTACAAAATGGTAGATTCATTGTATCACAAACCACGCCAATCATCCATGAAATAGGCATGAACCATGATATCCCGCAAAGCCTGTTTACTGTGGTATTTGTGAAAAGTGATGTGTAACGCAGTGGAACACAAATAGCTATAAAACGATCAAGAGCCATCACCATCAAAATGAAAGAGTGTGTTGCAGCTAAAAAGTAAACAAAGTATGTTTGTATAAAACAGGCATAGAATGAAATAATGCTGTTGTCAGACCAGTATTTTGATATCACCTTCGGGAGAGTCACTGTGCCAAATATCAAATCATTTAATGCTAAGTGACCAAAAATGAGATATGTTGGTTTTTGAAGTGACTTTTCACAAATTACAATCACTAGGATGAAAATATTCCCCACAGCTATAGTCAAATAAAGCAAAAAGAGCAGAGCTGACACAAGCCCGTAATACTCTGGCAGCAGGCCAGGAAATCCAACGAGGAAAAAGTCTTTGATTGTTGTCACGTTAGTGAGCAACATGTTTGTGATTACACTAAACAGAGTAGGTAAAGAGACTTTCAGGAATTCAATGTAATAATTCAAGGAAATTAATGAAAACAATAAATAAAACTAAAGAGATTCCAATCACAAAGCATTAAAATGTAAAGAGTATGCTTACTCGTTGGGTCTAACAATTGTGCTAGCAAAAGTAAATAAATCATGAATCATAAAGTCAGTAAATAAGTAAGTTTTCTCCGTACAAAAACAGGTCGAGTTAAATCTGTTCACATGAACACACTGAAACAACTCGCTTACTCTCACCTATTATGTGCTTTGCTTGTTATGCTTACAGTATAAGTACACGGATGGATCCCAGATGGGAAACTTTCCCTCAAGAATTTCACTAGTTCTACCACTGATGTGACACATTTTGGTCAATAACATTTAGTTTAAGTAAAATAAGTAAGTAAGTATCTTTAGTAATTTTTGGGGGTGGAACTACATTTGAACAAATAGTGGATGCAATACATTTTAATTTCAATAATTTCCTGCACAGATGAAATACAAAATCCCAATACCCAAGGGCAAGTGAAAAAGTTGAAATAATGTTCAGTTTATATGCAAAATTAATACAAACTACGGTATAAATTACATTTATCATAATTTTCTAGTTAGATTATAGAAAGCAGGACGATGCAGCTATGTCAACTTCTATTGTTCAAAACTGAAGCCAAAGTATCCTACTAATAGGGCTGGGGGCAAACGATTATTTTTAAAACGATTATTCCGACGATTATTTTATCGAATAGTCGACTATTCTGACTATTTAGAAAATTAATCTAATGATTATTTTTCTATTGCAGAATTAACAAAAACCAGAAAATCTCAAATAAATTCCTCAAAAAAATTGATAAATTCTTACTGTAAGAGAATAAACACTACAGGCCTTCCATTTTTTATAACACTGCTTTTATTGTGTTGCGGTTGGTTTTGTTCTGGTGACGTAGAACTTGGGAGTGCAGGCTGCTGCCTGAGAGGTGGTTGAAGATGGAGTGTCTCCATGCTGCTTGTTTTGGTCACTTATGTGCGTGAGGCGAGTAGGGATGCACCGATCAGGTTTTTTGCTGCCGATCACCGATACCGATATCAAAGAATGCTGATCACCGATACCGATCACGTGGATTGGCCAGAAATTTTCTACAACATTATAATGAGTGCTACAAACTACATAATCCGGAAATAAAGGAAATGTAACCTAATCTAAAATGGTCTGTATTAGGGTTGTCACGGTGTGAAAATTTAACCTCACGGTTATTGTGACCAAAATTACTACGGTTTTCTGTATTATCGCGGTATTTTTTTTAAACGTGCTACATTTTTGCACAATTAAATAAACCCTGTATGTCAGGAAATATTGTCCTCAGTTTGTGTCTAAATTTTGCCTAAAATGTGTTATTTTGTAATTATGTTGTTTATTTGTTTACATTTTTTCCCTTTAGTCTTTAAAATACCAATATTTGTCCATAACTTCTTATTTTATGTCTGTTTGATGTCATCATTTTAACAACATTAGATCAGATGATACTCAGTACTCAAGTAGCCTTCTAATCAGATACTTTTTTACCCTTACTTGAGTAATAAACCCTATATCAGGAAAATATTGTCCTCGGTTTGTGTCCTTCCAGTGAGCTGTGCAGATCTGGGAAAATGTCATCAGGCAGTAATCGTTGTTAAATTCATAATTATTCTCGGAGAGCGACCAACTCTTATCTGCCCCCTGGGAGCCCCGTAATGCATAGCGTCATTTCAACATGGGGGTGTCCGCGACATGGTTTATATGCAGGTAGCGGCGCTGCGGCTGCTTAATATAGCGACTCGTTGCATTCTCCCTCAACCCAAATCCTCGGATGACGCATTTTAGCTAAAACGCTAACGTTAGCTTGCCTTGCGTTGACTGTAGAGTTGTGGGTGATGGTCACGCAGATGTGTCATGAGATTTGAAGCGTTGCTGCCTTTCACAGACACTTTTTCTGCACGTGCTGCAAACAGGATAGCCGTCTTCTATAAACTGTCCCTCGGCATTCTTCAAATATCCAAAAGATGCCCGTACTTCCGACTTTGTCTTCTTTGAGGGATAAAAAATGTCCTCCTGAGCGCTGCCGTCTCCTTCTTTGGCCATTATTTTAGCTTTAGCTTCAAGAAAGTTTTGGTTGTAAACAACAAGGTGCGCATGTGCCGCCGGTAACTTCAGCAGATGATACGGTGGCTGGTAAGGGTCACTGCGCCTACACCGCAGCCACGGTAAACCCACCGAGATAATATAGTTTTTTCAAAAAACAAGACAGTTATTATTATTGTCAACTTTTTTTTACCGGGGTTTACTACTACACCGGTTACCGTGACAACCTTACCTGATCGGTCTGCTTTGATCTATTTTGAAAACTCAGATCAAAACCGATAGGGGCGCTATCAGCCGATTGGGATCAAATGCCGATCAATCGGTGCATCCCTAGAGGCGAGTGGTGTTATGACTCTTCCTGGGGAGTTTGGCTCGTGTGCAAAAAGGAAGGGACAATAACGTGGGATTTAAAAGCTAAAATGATGATCAGGTTTATTTACAACTACAAAAAACATAAATCTTTCCATCCACAGGTTGGGAATAATAAAACTAATTCTGCCTGTGGGGAATTAAAACAAAAGTACAAATAACTAGGGATGTCCCACTGGGCAAAGATTACTGGGTTGTGGACCAAAATATGGATCTCCAAAGGTCCAAACTCTAAACTGGGTGGTTAAACCAAACTCAAGGTAATATTTTACACTAAACCGAAAAGCCACAACACTCTAAATGTAATAAAAGGGAGATCTGCCCCACCTTAAAGATGAACTCTAAACTAAAACGTAACAGCTTATCCAAATGCAAGAAGCTGTTAGCGAAGATGCTAACAGTAGCTTTACCAATGTTAAGTTCAAGTTACCAAGTTTAAATAAACCAAAAATACCCAGCAAACAGACCAGCATGGAGGAGAGACTGCTACCACCAAAACAGCTCTCCTAATGTCTGAAAGAAGCTCCTTTATGAAGGGAGAAGCGCTCCCGGTGATTTTCCACATCTGCGATAGAGACGGAGTAGTGCATTTGACCCCAGAAGTTGTCCGTTGCCGGGAGACGAAGGCGGGCAAAACAGGAAAGGAATCTAGTAGCAGACGGACATTGTTCCGGGTCTTCAGTATTTGGCGGAGATGTTAGTGAAGGCGGAGAAGAGGGCGAACTAGAGGAAAAACAGACAGATTCCACCTCTATTTACAAACTCCTGGGGATGCAACAAGTGGTCGTGGTGCGTCGACTACCGGATCTGACGTCGACAAATTTTTAGAATCGAGCCGTCAACGTCATCGAGGCTTCGCTACAGCCCTACCTACTAACAGTTGTCACTATGTTCTGTATTCTGGAGTTTGAGATTGTGACAAGGGGGTGAATCATACATCAACCCAGTTTTTAAAACTGAACAAAAAAAGCTAATTATACCATACCATACCATACCATACCAACATTATTTATCATATATAATACACTTTTCTTCTGGCTCTTGGAGGGTGCAGACACTTTTCTTCTCCTCTCCTCCATATCTTATCCTCAAGGCCTTTGTCTGTCTGTGTATGCTGGGTGCACTTCTGCTTCTGCATTTTTTCTGGAAACTGGAAACTGAAATTCACTAAAATGGACCTCGTCAGTTGGTCTCTCAACGCGGTTTATAAATTTTTTCAACGATGGGAACGGGAGAAGGGGCTCTCGGATGCCCCCCGGGACAGACCAGCTGTCTGTGGAGGACTCTGAAGAAGTGTGGATATTTGTGGTGTTGGTGTCGGGTTTCCTGCTGATCGGCATTAGAGGCTACCTGGCTTACCGGAAAATTAACAAGCTGTCGAGGAATATTTACCTGATCCTGGAGCTCAGAGATGGATTGCACAGTGCTGTGAGTTCACAGACTCACATAAGTGTCGAGATGAATCGTAAGCCTGGGACTGTGGCCGAGATTCATGCATTGGCACAAAGATGGATGCCATCAAGGATAGAGTGGACGAATCAGCATGGATTGGGATAGTTTAATGTCCATTATTGGGATTTTGAGAGGTTGAGGACCAATAAACTGTAAGACAGAGAGGAAATGATCTCTTTCTGGCCCCAAAACAATTTCTAATCGGAATCTGGCGTCCTTGAGCCTGCAAGGCTACAACCAAAACTCCCCCCTCAGAAGATATGTGGAATGTGCCGTCGCTATGGCAACTCAACTCTGTCTCCTGTCCCAGCCTGGGCGGGACTGCGGGAATGCCTCTGAAACATTCCAGGGTCACTGCAACCCTCCAACCCTCAATGCTCCTCGCCCTATCTACACTGAGGTGACATGCACTGCTTCATCTTGGCTGCAGGAACTGAAGTGGGGATAGTCCCAACCCACCACCCCATCTAGTGGACACTTATGTTGTGTAATGTCTGAAGTCTGTTGCATATATGTTTGAGGTGTTTTTTTTTAGCAGAGCAAAGCTGCCCTCCCTATGGAGGGTAGCTCTGAAGTGCCTTTTTTCCCCCCTCCACCTGAACCAACCCTCATGTAACCCTCTTATCTCTATTAAGGTAGCGCGACTCAGGGTTGCGAATGACCACAGTCACCAATTCTTGCCATGTGTCTTGCCCATGTATGTCTGATCTCTGAATTGTGTGTACTGAAACTAATTTCCCTCTGGGATTAATAAAGTATCTTTGATTGACTGATAAAGCACATTTAAAACAGGCATGGTAGCCAACCAAAGTGCTGTACAGATAAAAAGTAAAACACAACATAAAAACAACAACACAATCAGTAATAAAAGTATACAACAAAGCATAAAATCACATTCAATTAAAAGAATACATAAAAATAATTAATAAAAGTCAAGGGTTTCTAAATGCCTGCTCATAAATGTGGGCCTTAAGCAGAAAGCACCAATAAAATCAATATTTAAATTGTAGTAATAAACTGTAGTGCTGTGTCTGTCACCATTAGAGGATCTTTGTGTTCAGTTTCATGTGATATGATGTGGGTGTGTAGACCCAAACGAATCTGGGAAAAGTGTTCAGGATGGGTGGGGCTGTTAGGTGTAGAGAACATGTGTGAGGCCCATCCTGATGTTGACCCTCCGTTGGTCTCCAGACTGTCCGGGAGGCATGTGTCAGCAGGCTGCTGTCATCGTCATTGTGCTACATGGTGGCGCAGTGGTTAGCACTGTTGCCTTGCAGCAAGAAGGTTTCAGGTTCGAAACTCGGCTGTGGCCTTTCTGCGTGGAGTTGCGTGTTCTCCCCATGCATGCATGGGTTTCCTCCGGGTACTCCGGTTTCCCCCACAGATCACAGCACGCCCTATAGGTTATAAATTGTAAGTCGCTTTGGATAAAAGCGTCTGCCAAATAAATAAACATAAACATTGTCATTTTCAGCCTGGGTGGAATCATCCGAATCCTGCCCATCATCCAAAAAACTGAAGCCCTTTGTCCAGCAAGTAAGTCTCTGTGACTGAGAAGACGTCTTTAGAAGCTCATGTGAAGAATTCAACTTGACACATTTTCTCAACCGATGGGAGAGTGAAACAGAAAGGGCAGGGAGATTGCAGTGTCAAGAGAAATGGGAGACACATGTTCCGGTTAAGTGGCTGTTAACTGTTACGGGGCGTCAATAGCCGGTTAAAGAAATGTAGGAAAACGTGCATCCCTAATATATCCATATACACGTCTTTTCCCTCTAAACCTTAAATGACTTTTGCCGCCATTCAAAATTGAGCGTTTTCTTAGCATCAAAATGTGTTTTTATGTTTCATGGACATATGTGAAATTAATGGTATATATTAAATGGGATTATTAAAGCAATTTTATAATCCCATGCATTCATTTTTCGATTTTTCTTTCAGGGACCCATGGTCCAGAAGTAGATGGGCATGACTTAAGTCTAGTTTATGCTTCCCTGTCAACTCTGCGAGGAAGAGATGCACACACACTGAAAGAGACATTTTGTCTTCCGACTTTTCTGTCCCCTGAGGAGTGTTGCAAAGCAGTTCCCCACCAGGAGAACAGAGGGCGTAGCTCTTTTCTGGGGCATCCTGTTATGTAGCTGGTTAAAACAGCGCATTTACTATTGTGTTGTGTACAATTATTAAATTTTTATTTTTTGTATTTCAGAGACTTTTTAATACAAACAAATTCGTCCCTCATTCTCCACCTCTTCATACGCTCGCCACCTCTAAAACCACGTTTCCTGTCATTTCCATCCACGAATATAACGCTTGATGTGTATCTTCATACTCCTGCAGTCATGGGTAAATAAACATTCATATATTCAGTTTTTTTCAAGGAATTCTTCAAGCTTTCCTTCATCTTAGAGCACGAGATCGGCATGCGGAATGCTGCTTCATCTACAGTGATGCGGGCGTTGTACTGATCTATCGTTGTGAAAAGAGAGCTGGGCCTGAAGGCAAAGCTCTCTATTCACCAGTCATTCTACGTTCCAACCCACCAATGGTCACGAGCTTTGGGTACTGATCGAAAGAACGAGATCGCAGATTAAACCGTCTGAAATTACTTTTCTTCAGAGTGGCTGGGCTCTCCCTTAGATATAGGGTGAGAAACTCTGCCCTCCCGGAGGGGCTCGGAGTAGGCCCGTTGCACGTCCACATGGAGAGGAGCCAGTTGAGGTTGCTCGGGCATCTAGTTAGGATGCCTCCTGGACACCTCCCTGGAGAGGTTTTCTGGGCACATCCAACCAGGAAGAGACCTAAAGAGAGACCCATGACACTCTAAAGGGGCTATGTCACTTGGCTGGCCAGGGAACGCCGGAGTAGCTGGCCCAAGTGGCAAGGGAGAGGGTAGTCTGGGCTTCCCTGCTTAGGCTACTGCCCCTGCGACCTGACCCCGGAGAAGCAGCTGAAAATGGATGGAAATTCTTCAAGCTGCTCCGTGTCTGCCGCTAGATATCTTCGACTCTTTATTTTTTTGAGAGGGCAATGGCGGTTCTGTTGACAAATTTAAAGGAAGGAACCTCCTGGTCAAATACACACTGGCATTCTCTGTTTTGTTTTAACGGATGTTTAGAAAAAAGGGCTTGACTGCGTTCGTCTTTGGGAGCCTTTTGGCGAGCCTTCACAACAATGGATATGGCGTTGTGTGTCTCTGTACTGATGCAACGAAAAAGCATAAGCTAGGCTTTAGGTTCCTTATGTGGTTTGTTTGGCGATGCCATAGTGTGATGTAATTGGCAAGCACATATCCCGTGTGTCGTCCTTTTTGGAAACAGAAATATGGTCACCCTAATTAACTGCACTTTGCTTCTGTGTTTGGTTGTGATGCATTTACATGCGTTTTTTCCAAATACAAGTACAACTCGAAAAAACTTGAATATGGTGCAAAAGTTCATTTATTTCAGTGATTCAATTTAAAAAGTGAAACTACTATATGAGATAGACTCATTACCTGCAAAGCAACATATTTCAAGCCTTTATTTGTTTTAATTATGAAAGTATGGCATACAGCTTTCTGAAATTGTGAAAACTCCAAATTCAAAATATCAGGAAAACTATTACATGAAATAAATAAAACAAAGATTTTAAATGGAGAAATGTTAGACCTCTGTAAAGTATAATAATGTATATGTACCCGGTACTTTGTTTGGGCCTCTTGCTTCTACTTAGAGAAATGGACGTTTGCCTAATGTTCACAGTTTTAAAGTTTCACATGTATTACAGTAAAACACAGATAATAAATAAAGAGCAAACATTAGAGAGGATTTAAAAGGAAATAATAAAGCACATTGTAAATAATTCTAAGACAAGTATGAAAGTAACTGTAGACCTCTGTGAGTAGCTGTTAAATAATTATGTTCCAATTTGCCTGGGCATAGTGTGTGCAGCTGAAAACGTAGAAATTCCACTTGCTGGTGTCAGAAATTAATTTTGACAGTTGTCCTTTTGCATCTATAATAAAATTAGGTATTTAGTTAAATTTTAGTAGAAAAATGTATTATTCTTCTAGCCCATTTAATTTTCAACATTTCTTTGATGTCTTGAGTTTTGAAACAGTAAATGAGTGGGTTGACAGCAGCAGGTATATGACTGTACAACATTACAATGACAATATGAAGTGAAATATTGAACGTGAATCCCACAAAATTTGCCAGGTACACGAAGCATCTTGGAAGATAGAAAAGACCTGCAATGATGAGTTGTGGCGTGCAGGTAGACAGGGTTTTCATGCAACCCGTGGAGGAGGGCTTTCTCAGAACAACAATGATAACAAAAAAATATGATAAGATGATGAATCCAAGAGGGACCATCAAGGAAAACATAGCAAGTCCTAATGATAGAATTGCAGAAGCTCGTACATTCTCACAAGAAAGGCTTCTTACTGAATTAAGGTCACAGTAACACTGAACAATTATGTTAGAATTACAAAATGGTAGTTTCATTGTATCACAAACCACGCCAATCATCCATGCAATAGGCATGAACCACGATATCCCGCAAAGCCCGTTTACTGTGGTATTTGTGAAAAGTGATGTGTAACGCAGTGGAACACAAATAGCTATAAAACGATCAAGAGCCATCACCATCAGAATGAAAGAGTGTGTTGCAGCTAAAAAGTGAACAAAATATATTTGTGTAAAACAAGCATAGAATGGAACAATGCTGTTGTCAGACCAGTATTTTGATATAACCTTCGGGAGAGTCACTGTGCCAAATATTAAATCAGTTAATGCTAAGTGACCAAAAATTAGATATGTTGGTTTTTGAAGTGACTTTTCACAAATGACAATGACCAGGATGAAAATATTCCCCACAACTATAATCAAGTAAAGCAAAAAGAGCAGAGCTGACACAAGCCCGTAATACTCTGGCAGCAGGCCAGGAAATCCAACGAGGAAAAAGTCTTTGATTGTTGTTACGTTAGTGAGCAACATGCTCGAGATTACACTAAACAGAGTAGGCAAATAGACTTTAAAGAGTTTGATATGATAATACAAGAAATGTAATAAAAATGTAAGATAAACTAAAGAAAGTCAAGTCACAAATGAGAAAAGTTCTCTGTGCAAAGACAAAGTTAAATCTGTATACATGAACATACTGAAACTACTCGGTTTTCGCTATGTGCTTTGCATGTTTTGTGTACAGTTTAAGTACATGGATGGATCCCTGGCGGGAAACTTTCCCTGAAGAATTCCACTAGTTATGTCATTGATGTGACACATTTAGGTAAATAACATTTAGTTTGTTAAATTAATTAATTCATTAATGTTTGGTGAATTTTGGTTAGTATTTGATCAAATAGTAGATCCAATAAAATTTTATCTCAATAATTTCCTGCAGTGTGCTGCACAGATGAAATAAAAATCATAATACACAAGAGCAGTTGAATAAGATGAAACAATGTTCAGTTCACATTCCAAATAATTACAAACTTTACCATATAAATTATATTAATGATAATTTTTATGTCAGTCTGGCACCATTAGAGGATCTTTGTGTTCAGTGTTGTGGGAGGAGATTTGAAGTCTATAAAATAAACAAAGTTCAGGCCTATCACTCTGTCTATAGAGCTCCGGACGTCACGTGACTCTCAGAGAGTAGACGCCATGTTGGCAGGCAACAAAGGTAAACAAAATGAACAAAGGTAAACAAAATGAACGGGATCGGCTTGGATTTTACTTCGTCGAAGTTTACTTCACACTTTAAAACTGAAGAAATCATTTTATATAGTCAGTAATTAAATAGACTAAACATCTCCGACCCTTACCGTGCCCCTGGGATACTTTTTAAAAATGCCAGAAGCTGTCGGAGCTGACTTCTTACCGGACCTGGCCAGGGAACGCCTTTGGATTCCCCCGGAGGAGCTGGCCCAAGTGGCTGGGGAGAGGGAAAACTGGGCCTCTCACTACTGCCCCCGCAACCCGACTCCGGAGAAGCGGATGAAAATGGATAGATGGACAAATAACATAGATTTACATGTAAGTAGTTTAAATGGAGTGCTGTGCTGTTTGAATGTACTGAACGCCAAGAGAAATCACTAGTTTGATTTTTTTCCGTGAATAAAATAAATATGTCAGGCAGGAGCGTCTCAGGATCTGTCTGAGATCTGTCTCGGTGAGACAGATAATAGCATCCAAAGTGCTTTTTGTGTGTGATCTGACAGTTGATCAACCATTGCTTAAAAATTAAATACAGCTTAGCCGGTTAATTGCTGTGATCATAAAACACGTAAACGGCAGCACGCAGAAATCACGAGGCAACGTTTTACGTGACGTTTACTTGTTGCTATGAGTAATAAGACCGAAAAAGCCACGCCAAAATAAGTTTAGGAAGCCCACAAAAAATCGTAATAAAAGCATTTAAAATAATTACCATACACAGTTGAGGAAACATTGGTTTAAGTACCTGATATGAAGTGGTCGCTGCATAAGCGAAAACTTTTACTCTTTGGATCCCACAGTTTCATTTTAGCCCAGTCACTAGCGCGTTTCATTACAATGATCCAACGTTTGCGGCGCTCCGGATCTTAGGGAATCCTGTAGATGGCTCATTCCTTCTGTCGTCTGCATCTGTTCTGCATCCTGGGGCACAACAGGAATCTACTGTACCAAACTTCCCGTTTGATTGAGTTTTCTGACAATAACAAATAGTCCAGCTGCGGGCTTCTGCCTGCCAATATGGCGCCATTTCGATTTGAACTGTTGCATGCTGGGAGAAGTGACGTCAACTCCCGGAGCTCTATTGTCTCTTTTGTTCTTGTGAAGGGCCTCGTGATTTTTATCTTGAGGGGGGATGTATACAAGTTTTTTTCTTCCTACTTTTCTTTCCCTGTCGAGATGCCACAAATGTAGTAATTCGACTGGCTCCACAATGCATGCGGCTGCAACCATGCCCCAAAGCCTCATAATCAACAGCTGGTATTGTAAGGTCTCACATAAGCCCTTTTCACAAGACACACCATGGTGGCAAATCTGCGTAATTTTACCGCAATAATGTGTCTTGGTGATGCACGAATTTTGTGGCATTCGTTTTGTCCTGCCTCGTTTGGTAGTAAAATAGCAGTAATTGTCAGATTCCTAAATTGTGATTGCTTCTACAGAGGGAGGTGTCATAATCACTTGGGGAGTTACTGCAAAACTCTAGCCAGCAACTGTATTGAAAAGGAAAGCAAACACGGGTTGTGAGGTTTGCTTTTCTAAACAGAACCAGCTGAGATGATCATCTGGAGCAATGCTGTGCTTCTGGAGTTGCAGGTCAGATCACCAGAGACTGCACAGAGACTGTAGGGGACAGACACTTCTTGCAGTGGCTTGTTTAAATATGTAACGAGTACAGCTTCGATCACAATAAAAAGCAAATTTTGTCCAAGATAAATGGAAGTCTGTGGCAGTGCAGAGACTGCCCCATACTGCTTTTATGCCACCATTGTGTAATCTTTTGTGAAAAGGACACAGTTGCGCAACATCACCGCCACAGTCTGACCACTAACCTAAGGGTCCTTGATGCTGCTTCAATGTTGTGGCAAATTGAAGGCATTGTTTTGTTAAAACGGCTATGGAGAGTCAAAGCGAAGAGATCCGTGGCTTTCATGTGGAATTAATCTAGTTCCACGCCCAGGAGATTTTTATCCAGTTTATGGAGAGTCCCAGGTTTGCCAGGTGCTCCAGATCTGTGCCTCCTTCCTGGAGTGAGCCAGTAGAAGCAGATCATTAGGGATGCACCAATGGATCGGCATTTGATCCCAATCGGCCGATAGCGCCCCTATCGGTTTTGATCGGAGTTTTCAAAATAGATCAAAGCAGACCGATCAGGTAGGGTTGTCACGGTAACCGGTGTAGCGGTAAACTCCGGTAAAAAGAGTTGACAATAATAATAACCGTCTTGTTTAAAAAAAAAAACTATATTATCTCAGTGGGTTTACCGTGGCTGCGGTGTAGGCGCGATGACCCTTACCAGCCACCGTATCATCTGCTGAAGTTGCCGCGGCACATGCGCGCTTTGTTGTTTACAACCAAAACTTTCTTGAAGCTAAAGCTGAAATAATGGCCAAAGGATGAGACAGCAGTGCTCAGGACATTTTTTATCCCTCAAAGAAGACAAAGTGGGAAGTACGGGCATCTTTTGGATATTTGAAGAATGCCGAGGGACAGTTTATAGAAGACGGCTATCCTGTTTGCAGCACGTGCAGAAAAAGTGTCTGTGAAGGCAGCAACGCTTCAAATCTCATGACACATCTGCGTGACCATCACCCACAACTCTACAGTCAACGCAAGGCAAGCTAACATTAGCGTTTTAGCTAAAATGCGTGATCCGAGGATTTGGGTTGAGGGAGAATGCAACCAGTTGCTATATAAAGCAGCCGCAGCGCTGCTTCCTGCATATAAACCGTGTCGCGGACACCCCCATGTTGAAATGACGCTACGCATTACGGGGCTCCCAGGGACAGATAAGAGTTGGTCTCTCTCCGAGAATAATTATGAATTTAACAATGATTACTGCCTGATGACATTTTCCCAAATCTGCAAAGCTCACTGGAAGGACACAAACCAAGGACAATATTTTCCTGATATAGGGTTTATTACTCAAGTAAGGGTAAAAAAGTATCTGATTAGAAGGCTACTTGAGTACTGAGTATCATCTGATCTAATATTTTTAAAATGATGACATCAAACAGACATAAAATAAGAAGTTATGGGCAAATATTGGTATTTTAAAGACTAAAGGGAAAAAAATGTAAACACATAAACAACATAATTACAAAATAACACATTTTAGGCTAAATTTAGACACAAACTGAGGACAATATTTCCTGACATACAGGGTTTATTTAATTGTGTGAAAATGTAGCATGTTTAAAAAAAATACCGCAATAATACCGAAAACCGTGGTAATTTTGGTCACAATAACCGTGAGGTTAAATTTTCACACCGTGCCAACCCTAATACAGACCATTTTAGATTAGGTTACATTTCCTTTATTCCCAGATTATGTAGTTTGTAGCACTCATTGTAATGTTGTAGAAAATTTCTGGCCAATCCACGTGATCGGTATTGGTGATCAGCATTCTTTGATATCGGTATCGGTAATCGGCAGCAAAAAACCTGATCGGTGCATCCCTACAGATCATCCAGATAAAATAAAAGTCTCATGCCTGTCGCACACATTTTCCACAGCTTTGTCTCCATGCATTTGGAGAAGATGCGCAGAGTGAGGAAATAACCGAACAGAAGTTGATTGTAGTCCTTGTGAAAGACAAATGCAGAAACATTGGTGTCTTGGAACAATCAGAACATGAAAGAATGCAAGGTCTTCGGAGATGAACCAGACTGCTTGACAAAATTTACTTTTGTCATTTCAAACACATTTCAATGACAGTTGTTCTTTTTCCTGTAATGGGAGAGTATGAAAAATTACAAAAATTATTAAATTACTGAATTCCATATATTTTCAACATCAAAAAAGTATTTTATTAGATTTTTATTTATTACTAATACATCAACTTTACACTTTTAAACTTCTTAGTGATGCAGAGAGCATCAGCTTCTCTGTTATTCGTTCACTTTTATGACAATCCTTCCAGCTTGTGTGGACTCTCCCCATGAAGCCGCCTACATAGCATGAATTTGCTAACATTAACTTTTTACTAACACAACTTTACTGACACTTTTTAAACAAGGTGCACAAACCTGAATCATCACAGATTCTGTTTTCATTCTTTTGTGGTTCATTTAGTCCCAAAACTAAACTTCCTAAGATTAGTCTGTGGCCTGGCTTTTCCGGTTTGCGCCTCACTTTTTTTACTGCAGCGGCCCAAAAAGATCTCCTAGCACATGGATTTTCTGCTTCCTGCTCACGTGACGTGTGACGTATGCGGATGACGATCGGCTTTAGAGCTAAGATGTTTGTTCTCACGGTGCGGGGGCTCGTTCCGATCATCAACATATATAATGGACAATTTGTTTCCATAGGCTCCAATAATAAGTTTTTAAGCCAAAATGGGAGGTGGCCACCACCGCCATTTTGACCGTGTCACAGGTTCCGTCAAGCCCAGATAATTCCAAAAAAGGGAAAAGAGGTGGAGCTGAGGGTGGGGCTGTAAGGCTGAGATCTAATGACCACACCCGTCAAACTGAAGTGATGTAGCTACAAGCTAACGCGGAGGTGGGAGCTAAGCTAATGGAGGTAGCAACCTAGCTACAACCGGAGTTAACTGCACAACACCAGAGCTTCTGAGTCAGAGATACGCCGGGCTGACCGCTGGGTAAAACCGGGTGGAACACAGAGGTCTCCCGAGAGCTCCACAAGCCGGCAGCCGCGCAGCAGACAAGCGCAGCGGCGATCAGAGATTTGCCGAGTTGCGGGCAGGGGACCATACCGATAGTCGGAACCCAGCTCCACCAACATGTTATATTTCGACCCATTTTCAAAAATGCAGCGTTATGTTAAATGCACTGGGTTTTACCCTATTACGTTTAAATTCCATGGTTAAACAGTACATGTTAAAATCTAAGCTCAGCTAGTGCAAGAGCAGCAGTGACCTAAAATACATAAATATAATTTTACTTACTGAAAAAATGAAATGGAGACCCTTTGAACGCTCAGTTAGTGCAATTAATACCACAGCAAGTCATTTTGTCCAACAATTGCACAAATAATATCCAAAAAGAATGCACAAACGGCACAACTAATGGTCTAAGTTGAGAGACTGAAAATGGCGGAACAGTTTTCAGGCGAGACCAAGACTCAGACTGAGGCCTTTCCTCAGAGCTAGCTCTGCGTTCACGTGGGTCTGATGCTCATTAATTAGTCAGAATTTTAGGCATTTAATACACTTAAACAGAAGAGTTACAAAAAAAATTCACCCCCTCAGAGTTGTCATGAGTGTAAACTAGATCATTTAAACCTTAAACATGTTTTGGAAACAGGCTGTAAACATGTTTATTTCTGCTGTGAAATTGGTATTTTTAACATGGGAGTCAATGTTGATTTCCTCGCTTCTGACGCCAGCCCCCAGCGGATGAGGGTGGAACTGCAATTTATTTCACTTCCGTATTGGCTTCAATTTCATACCAGTATTATGGGGGCTTGGTTCCGATACCCACACAGTAAAAAAAATGCAAATGACTACTTTAGTCGTCATTGGCAGTGAATAAGTTAACACAAAATCTAACTAAAATAAATTGTCCTGCCATTCCAAAATTTGCACTTTCATGGTGTCAAAGTGTGTCTTTATAATTTACATACATCATATGTGAAATCCATGGCATATATCAAATGGGATTAAGAAATATCTTTTATAGCCCCATTGACTAGCATTTGTTTTTTCTTTGTTCATGGTCCGGACGTAGACAGTGTTGTCATAGTGTGATATTATCGGCAGGCACAACCCAACCTCCTTTTTGGAAATGGAAATATGGTCACTCTGATTAATTGCGCTATAGTTCTCTGTGTTCTCTGTGTTTGGTTGTAATGCCGCTTCACATACAGGTGAAACTCGAAAAAACTTGAATATCTTGCAGAGGTTCATTTATTTCAGTAATTCAAGTGAAACTTATATAAGAGAGACTAAAATGCAACACAAGACATTTCAAGCTTTTATTTGATATAATTGTGATGATTATGGCTTACAGCTTTCTGAGATTTTAAAAATCCCTGAATCAAAATCTCAGAAAAACTATTACATGAAATCAATAAAACAAAGATTTTAAATAGAGAAATGTCAGACCTCTGAAAAGTATAATATTGCACTCAGTACTTGGTTTGGGCCCCTTTTGCTTCTACTGAAAAAAAAAACTTTTGCATGATATTCCAATTTTTTGAGTTTCACATGTATTACAGTAAAACACAGACAATAAATAGCGAGCAAAAATTAGAGATTTAAAAAGAAAATAATAAAGCACATTGTAAACAATTCTACAACAAGTAAGACCTCTGTCAGTAGCTGATAAATACATTAAACCAGTTTAAATTTGCCCAGCCATAGTGTGTGCAGCTGAAACCTTAGAAATTCCACTTGCTAGTGTCAGAAATGAATTTAGACCATTTACCTTTTTGCATCTATTACACAATTAGATATTTAGTTAAATTTTATTAGAAAATTGTATTGTTCCTCTAGCCCATTTAATTTTTAACATTTCTTTAATGTCTTGAGTTTTGAAACAGTAAATGAGTGGGTTGACAGCAGCAGGTATATGACTGTACAACATCACAATGACAACATGAAGTGAAATATTGAACGTGAATCCCACAAAATTTGCCAGGTACACGAAGCATCTTGGAAGATAGAAAAGACCTGTAATGATGAGTTGTGGTGTGCAGGTAGACAAGGTTTTCATGCGACCCGTGGAAGAGGACTTTCTCAGAACAACAATGATGACAAGAAAATATGATAAAAGGATGAATCCAAGAGGGACCATCAAAGAAAACATAGCAAGTCCCAGTGCTAGACTTGCAGAAAATCGTACATTTTCACATCCAAGCCTTAATAATGAATTATGGTCACAGTAACACTGAACAATTAAGTTTGAATTACAAAATGGTAGTTTCATGGCATCAAAAACTACGCCGACCATCCATGAAATTGGCATGAACCATGATATCCCACAAAGCCCATTTACTGTGGTATTTGTGAAAAGTGATGTGTAACGCAGTGGAACACAAATAGCTATAAAACGATCAAGAGCCATCACCATCAGAATGAAAGAGTGTGTTGCACCTAAAAAGTGAACAAAATATATTTGTGTAAAACAAGCATAGAATGGAACAATGCTGTTGTCAGACCAGTATTTTGATATAACCCTCGGGAGAGTCACTGTGCCAAATATTAAATCAGTTAATGCTAAGTGACCAAAAATTAGATATGTGGGTTTTTGAAGCGACTTTTCACAAATTACAATCACTAGGATGAAAATATTCCCCACAGCTATAGTCAAGTAAAGCAAAAAGAGCAGAGCTGACACAAGCCCGTAATACTCTGGCAGCAGGCCAGGAAATCCAACGAGAAAAAAGTCTTTGATTGTTGTTACGTTAGTGAGCAACATGCTCGAGATTACACTAAACAGAGTAGGCAAAGAGACTTAAAATAATTCAATGTGATAATTCAAGAAAATTGATTTTAAAAAAAGAAGGTAAAATTAAACTAAAAAAATTCTAATCACAAAGTAAGAAAGTAATGTCTATGCAAAAACAGGCAAAGTTAAATCTGTTTTCATGAACATTCTGAAACAACTCGGCTTACTCTCACCTATTATGTGCTTTGCAATTTGTGTGTACAGTTTAAATAGACAGAGGGATCCCTGATGAGAAACTTTCCCTCAAGAATTCTACTAGTTACACGACTGAAGTGACACGTTTGGGTAAATAAAATTTGTTTGCTAAATAAAGCAATTACCTCAAATGACCTCTACTGTGCATCATGTACATCGAGTCTGAGAGCCAGGCTTGAGCTACAGCAGTCGTCCAAACCGAGAAGTTGGTTCAAGAGACCCATGGGGGCAAGTGTTCAAAAGGGCGTCATGTCAGGTCCAGAATCCTGACCAGTCATTGGTGTCGCAGCTCAACCTTGATTGTGAGTGCCCACATGTGAGGGAGACACCACAGCACACATTTGGAGTGGGAACAGGGTCATCAGTTTAAACAATCTGCTTTGATGCAGAACGTGAATATGAAAAAGTTGAGGTGTGGGAGCAAGCAAGTTACCCTGCTGCTGATCATGGCAGTAGTTCCGTCCTCCTGGGGCTGGTTGGGGTTTGATCGAGCCTGGACTAGGTCAACAGTGGCAGAAAGCGCCGCTGTTTTCTGCTCTCTTGCAATGGGGGATCCTGAAGTGAGGGCCAAACAGAGCCCTTACAATTTTAGGGCTGATGGGACCCATCATGTCCTTTGTCAGGGTGTTCAAGAATGGAGGGCAGAGTGTGCAGCCACAGAGCATGTTGGATGAGTGTCAGCCAGGCGGCAATGTGGGCAGAGTTGACCAGAGCAGCAGCACAGAGGTTGAGAATGGTATCAGTAGATTTACAAAGGAAGCCTTTAGATTCTGCAGGCACATCCAGCTCCTCCACCTTCTTAGAGATACCAAAGGCGATGTAGACAGAAGCACCCATCTAGAAGGCACATTGTTCAGGGTTCGTACACTTTTTTAGCTATGGTTTTCCATAACTTTTCTATGACTTTTCCATAACCATTCACTGAATTTCCAAGACCAAAAATGAACACATTTCAGCCGGACCATCATAGTCGGTGCCTCTAAATCAAACCCAGACACATCTTGATACACTGTGTAAGGATTTATTGCACTAACACAGTTATCATTAAGGTTTTAACAGATGAACCGTCTGACTTCTCCCCATCACAGAGAGCAACAGAAATGGAGAACATAAGGTGCTTAAGGGATAGGAATACCATTTCCCAATCAAAGTATCTACGCTGCATAAACATGTAAAAATAAAGAAAAATAAAGTGCACTTGCATTCTTATTAAAACAAATAAAAATTCTCCAAAAATAAATGTTCTCTTAAAACATAAAATGTGCAAAATTTTGAATTTAATGTAGACTGGATCTTTATTGTAATGCCCTACTTGTATTCACTTTTTACCAAAATAACACATTACATAAACTAAAATAGGCTTCACAAAATTTAATTTTACTCCTCAAACAAGAGCCTGAACATTAGTCTGGAACATGGTGAGAAATTAATCTCTGTAATATCCTCTCCTAGCATGTCACACAGTAACCATCTTTACTGCTTCATCTGAGAAAGCGTAGCATCAATGTGCTTGTCGATGTCTTGAAGAGAAGCTCTTTTTTCTTTGGCAGTGCAACGCAAACTGTTGGATTTTGTGATGGTCAGTTTTCCAGTAGATTCGGCTTTTTCAGCATACTCATCAGCTGCCTTCTCCAACACGGCAATGCCGCTTTCTGCTCTGACCTTCTTCCTTTTAAACTCATCCAACTCGTCTGCCAGGGCTTTTCTCTTTTGTCCCTGCCTTTTCTGTTCAACAGCCCTCCTCTGGTCGTCTAGGTAGCTGTGGTACTTTTGCCTTGCTCCGGACACAGATATCAACAGTTCTTTGGTGATTTGTACATTTGTTACACCACCAACCGCTCTGATATGGCCTTTGGGCAACCAGAGAGGCTTCTTTCTGGTTCTCAACAATAAGCTCCTTATTAATTGAGAATCCTCTCTCAACACTGGCCTGTCCATGAGAGAGAACCAAAATCATCTTCACCACATTCCACACATTAGAGAAAGCTCTGGTGATTCCCATGGACTCGTACAGAACAGTGTCCACCCTGTCTTTTCTGGGATCAAAATTCTTGATGCGGTCTTGGAGGGAGGCAAAATCACAAAACTGTCCAAATTCTCGAAGGACATCATCACAGGCTCTCTCATCCACACAGTTGGCTGCAACAAGATTTTGTAGCACCCTTTTCATTTGAATCAGTGACTTCTCTTTGAATCCAGCCATGTTCCTGGGGTCCAGGCACTGCACACTTCTCACAAGCTGATGATGCACAGGGCTCTTATCCTGAAGTTTCCCCAGGATGGTAATCAAGAATGTCTTGCATTCCTTCTTGATTTCCAGTGCCTGCCTCTCTGATATCTTTTTGGTGGATTTCAGTTGATTCAGACAAGTTTCGGCTGAAAATCCTATGCTGACCTTTAGGGATAAGTGAAAATATAGTTATGAATTATTGTAACACAAAATGGTGAAATGTTTGGGCTATGTATCAGGAAATAATCAGTGATTCGCCTAAAATAAATTTAGTGTTACATTTCATTGTGTGTCATTAATCACATGCAGAGTTTAGAGTAAGAACTCACAGCAGAAGTACACTGAAGGTGGTTTTAGCTTTTTTATGTTCATCTCTTCTGTTTGGCTCTTGACTCAGTAAGTTTCCTTTAGTCAGGACTAAACGATTTGACCTTGATGGGGGGGTGACCACAAAATCGTTTTGTTTATCCTTTTTTTATTCGGCCATTTCACACAATTCAGAAAAACCTGAAAGAATGATAGGCCTGTGTTTATGATATTATGATATTATGATGATGAAACATTAAAACATTAGGATTCGTCATGTTTTCATTCACCGCGTCACCAACTAATGTAGGAGAGGGAACATGTGAGTGAGTCACCACGGTAGGAAGCCCAGCTTGCTGTGAGCGAGCGATCTGTGGCTGATGAGTGAAAACAAAAGAGAAACATTCGGGACTGAAGCTCCGTCAACACCGGCTGGCGACGCGGCTGCATTTCTAAATAAAGCATTTCGTTTTGGCGGCGCGCGCAGCCGCAACTCACGGTTCTGGGAGAACCGGGCATGCCCGTCCCATCAACAGCAGGTGGAGCTCACCGCTCCGCCCATCTCACAACCAGAGCGGGAAAAAAAGCACATTGGCTTGGATTTTACAGATGGGACTCTGTGTGTGAATTAATGCCAGTTAAATTATTACTTAAGTGTTGTTTGTGTGCTTGTTGTTCATTAACTAATGCTATAATTAATATAATCTGTTTTAATTTTTCATAAGCCCTACACACTGTGCGTGATGCAAGTTTGGGGAGCGCAGGCGCTGGTTTAGCATGAGAGATTGGAGGTGTGGCGTGAGAGCGTGTGAAGAGGGTCAAATGCATGTGTCCCACGCTCAGTGCATGAGAGTTGGCAGCTCTGAGAGGGTTTTACCAGTTTCGACCACTCCTGCGGTCTTCTTCAGAGCTAGCCGCTAATGGTGGCATCACTTCCTTCTCTGTTTATTGGGGGGCACAGCGGATAATCTGATAAATATATAGATTAAAATCAATTTTATAGTCATTTTATTTTATTATCATGCCATAAATGCTAAACGGTATACCTCATCTGTCCTGAGGTGTTAACATGGATTGCCATGAAGTGTTAATGCTTCATGAAAGATTTGACTTCAGGAGAGCAGTCCGAATACTCCGAAGGATACTCTGATTCTTGCAAGTGTGGTTTTCTGAACACAGGGAGCAGATTGGGTTGTTCGTTCAAGGTGTGTTACAATGGAAAACAATTTTAAAATCTTATTTCTGATTATAATCAATCACTCTGAGTTTTTCAAGCAGGCTGAACATAGTCTCCTACACCCCTATCTCCTGTGTTAGCTTCCGATAGAAAAAAGGTGAAACGCAGTGCCACGCCTGAGCCTATGTAGGGGAAACATTGGTAAGCATCCAGGAGTCAGCAGAGAATGTCTCAGGTAGTAGAAGCTAATTTGAATTAGCAACTTCACCGCACGGCAGAACTCCTCTAGGCCCGTGTTATTTGTGGATATAAAATAAACATGTCAAGCCAGTGGTAGTGTCCATTCCTGTTAACTCATTCACTGCCAGTGACGACTAAAGACGTCATTTGCATTTTTTTTTACTGTGTGGGTATCGGAACGAGTCCCCGCACCATGAGAACAAACATCTCAGCTCTAAAGCCGACCTTCATCCGCGTACGTCACACGTCACGTGATCAGAAAGCAGAAAATCCATGTGTTAGATCGTTTTGGGCCGTTCCTGTAAAAAGAAAAAAAAAGTGAGGCGCGAACTGGAAAAGCTTCTGCCGATCACAATTCAACAACGGATTATGAAAGAACGGATAACGCTCGAAACTCGGATTCTTCCTGATGTAAGAAGTGAGTCTCCGCTTTGTTTTGGTTGTTTTGGTGCCGACATCATCCTAGCGCGCAACATTCTGTGACTCTTAAAAAAAATACAGTAAAAACTGTGGGAAACGCTGGCAGCGAAGGGCTTTACCGATCAGGAAACAGCTAGCAGTGAATGAGTTAATCCAATTTGTGATGAGATGTCCACATATCAGGAAATAAGACTTGAAAACCTGCCATCTGAAGCTCAGCTGTGATCTGGCTCATTTCTAGTTCCTGGAAACAGTGCACAGGTATTGATTAAATGAGTGTTTCACACCTTTAATCATGTAAAAGATCATGTTAGCACATACTGGCCCAAGAAAATGATTAAAAAATATTTAAAAGTTACATAGTTTCCATTTAAATGGTTAAAATATTGTTGCTAAATAAAACATATCTGTCGTGAAGCATGGCGGAGGACCGTAAGGACACCAGAGCACAGTAGGCGGTAGAAAACGGTCTTTATTAGCCTGAAGCTAAGAGGAGATGTTACCGGAGCAGAGTTCAGTTAAAGGCAGAGTTGAGGGCAGGCGTGGGTCAGAACCAGGATGATATGAAGCAGGTTTGAGCAGCAGGCAAGAGACTTGGTTGAGGACAGATGTGGATCGGAACCAGGCTGAGACGAAGCAGATGCGAGGAGCAGGTGAGAGACGTGTTCGAAGACAGGCGTGGATCAGAACAATGTAGGTTCAAGATGTGGTCGTGGTCAGGCGTAGGTTGTGGAGGCAGGCAGAGTTCTTGGTGAGCGTCACGCGTGAAACGAGTTCGGTAGGCGATGATCAGGCTGGATGAAAAGGCTTGAAGATCTACTTGCAGGCGCGTTAAATAATCTGGCAGAGCGCTGGTGGTTGACTGTGGAATATATAGCTGGTGAGGCAGGTGTATGGCATGAGCTTGATGAGGGGGCCAGGTGTGATGCATGAAGGGTGATGACGTGGATGGTGGTAGCATGGAGGTCAGAACATGGCAGGATCATGACAATACCATTGCAAATATTTCAAAGACAAGTAAGTCAGTAGTGCTAGACCTCCGTCATTTGCTGATAAATACATTAAAACATGTTTACATTTGTACATAGTATGTGGAGCTGATTTATTTATATATTTATTTTATTTTCATTTGTTGACAAATATTTTAGGAGATTAAAACCACTTGAGATGAACCATCTTGTCTTTGAGTGGGTCCTCCTACCTTACAACAAATAAAGAATAAGACAGTAGAGTCAATAAGCAAAAAAGGCAAGTGCAAAGATGTAAAGCACAAACCGATAGCAAACCTGAAAACCAAGAAGACCCCCACCCCCCAAAAAAGGGCTATAAAGCAGTGGAATGAAAAAGTTTCAGGTATGCATCACATGTTCATAAACAGATTTACTAATAAACAAAACAAAGAGATTGGCCATAAATCTGCAGGTAACTTACTCCAGTCCCGGGGAGCTTTAACACAAAATGCATGTTTCCATGCTTTTTTTTTTAATCTGAGGAATTACAAAAGAAACTGATAAATAATCTAAGGATTATACAAAGAGTTGATCTGAACGTATAAACTCCACTTGATTGTGTCAAAAATGCATTTGAAAAATATATTTTTGTATCCAGAATAGATGTGGTATTTAAGTTATTTTTGAAGTAAAATTAATTTTTCCTCTTGACCATTTCTTTTTTAAGATTTCTTTGATGTCTTGAGTTTTGAAACAGTAAATGAGTGGGTTGACAGCAGCAGGTATATGAGTGTACATCATTACAATGATTATATTAAGTGAAATATTGAATGTGAATCCCACAATATATGCCATGTACACGAAGCATCTTGGAAAGTAGTGAAGACAAGTGATGATGAGCTGTGGTGTACAGGTAGACAGAGTCTTAAGGCGACCCGTGGAGGAAGACCTTTTCAAAACAACAATCATGATAAAAATATATGATATAATGATGAATCCGAGAGGGACCAGCAAAGAAAACATAGCAATTCCGAATGGTACAATTGCAGAAGCTTGTGCATTCTCACATCCGAGCCTTAATATTGAAATATGGTCACAGTAACACTGAACAATGATGTTGGAGTTACAAAACGGTAGTTTCATTGTATCAATAACTATACCAATCATCCATGAAATTGGCATGATCCACGAAATCCCACAAAGCCCATTAACTGTAGTATTTGTGAAAAGTGATGTGTAACGCAGTGGAGAACAAATAGCTATAAAACGATCAAGAGCCATCACCATTAGAATAAAAGAATGTGTTCCACCTAAAAATGTAACGAAGTACATTTGTGTAAAACAAGCATAGAATGAAACAATGCTGTTGTCAGACCAGTACTTTGATATAACTTTTGGAAGAGTCACTGTGCCAAATAATAAATCAGTTAATGCCAAGTGACAAAAAATGAGATATGTGGGTTTTCGAAGAGACTTTTCACAAATGACAATCACTAGGATGAAAATATTCCCAACAGATATAGCCAAGTAAATCAAAAAGAGAAATGCTGACACAGGTCCATAATACTCTGGCAACAGGCCAGGAAATCCAAGAAGGAAAAAGTCTTTGATTGTTGTTACGTTAGTGAGCAACATGCTCGAGATTACATTAAACAAGTTAGGAAAATATACTTCAGGCTATTAGATGTAAAATATTAAAAAGAAAATCATGGAAGATGTCAAACAAACATTTAAAAAATTTTGTCACAAAACATGAAAATGTCTTCTTAGGGTCTAACAAGTTTGCAAACAAAGTAAATAAAGCATAAACCAGAACATAAGTTATTTCTCTGCAGAAACAGGCAAAGTTAAATCTGTTTACATGAACATACTGAAAAAACTCTGTGGATACACTGAGCATGTTGTGTGTACAGTTTAAGTACACTGATGGATCCCAGGCGGGAAACTTTCCCTCAAGATTTCTTCTAATTGTACCACCGATGTGACATGTTTATGTGAAGAATATTTATTTTGTTAAATAAAGTAGTCCAAGTCTCCAGACTGCAGCTTGATAAACTTGAAACTCCTAACTTGATAATGTAAAGTGTTACACTTAGATCAAAATGTGACCTAATTTTCTTTAAGGTAGTTTAAGTATTGGTACTGAAAAGATAATTAGAAGAAAATATTATTTCATACACTTGAATCCAATTTAATTGTACTTTTTGTTAAAAAAAAAGTTGTTTTTGTTTTATTTTAACCCTTACCCAACGTTTAAATTTTCTAACGTTAAAGTCATTAGAGCACAAAAAAATGCACTTAGAAAGCTTCCTTTAGAAATATTATATAATATTTCATAAGTCCCAATTTTTTTACATGAATTTCATCCTTGGCTTCAGCCCTAACAAAATATAATAAAATATGTGTGTGTTTCTCAGATTTAACCCCTTCATTGCTAGGTTTATTAGCAAAACCCGAAGTTTGAAAACTGTACAAAAAATGAAAAAATCAAATCATTTTTTGTGTGTTATGTCCAGATTAACTTTTTTGTGGGTAAGTTGTCACAGCCTTGGAGTGTCACAAATAGGCATAAAAATATTTTTTTGCTCACTTTGTAGTTTTTGTGTAATGTCACATTTTCTAAAATACTCACGTTAAAGTCATTAGAGCACAAAAAAATGCACTTAGAAAGCTTCCCATAGAAATATTATATAATATTTCATAAGTCCCAATTTTTTTACATGAATTTCATCCTTGGCTTCAGCCCTAACAAAATATAATAAAATATGTGTGTGTTTCTCAGATTTAACCCCTTCATTGCTAGGTTTATTAGCAAAACCCAAAGTTTGAAAACTGTACAAAAAATGAAAAAATCAAATCATTTTTTGTGTGTTATGTCCAGATTACCTTTTTTGTGGGTAAGTTGTCACAGCCTTGGAGTGTCACAAATAGGCATAAAAATATTTTTTGTTCACTTTGTAGTTTTTGTGTAATGTCATATTTTCTAAAATACTCACGTTAAAGTCATTAGAGCACAAAAAAATGCACTTAGAAAGCTTCCCATATAAATATTATATAATATTTCATAAGTCCCAATTTTTTTACATGAATTTCATCCTTGGCTTCAGCCCTAACAAAATATAATAAAATATGTGTGTGTTTCTCAGATTTAACCCCTTTATTGCTAGGTTTATTAGCAAAACCCGAAGTTTGAAAACTGTACAAAAAATGAAAAAATCAAATCATTTTTTGTGTGTTATGTCCAGATGACCTTTTTTGTGGGTAAGTTGTCACAGCCTTGGAGTGTCACAAATAGGCATAAAAATATTTTTTGCTCACTTTGTAGTTTTTGTGTAATGTCATATTTTCTAAAATACTCACGTTAAAGTCATTAGAGCACAAAAAAATGCACTTACAAAGATGACCAGTTGAACACTTTATTAAAGCACACGAACAAAGAAAAAGTGTGTGTGTGTGTGTGTGTGTGTGTGTGTGTGTGTGTGTGTGTGTGTGTGTGTGTGTGTGTGTGTGTGTGTGTGTGTGAGAGAGAGAGAGAGAGAGAGAGAGAGAGAGAGAGAGAGAGAGAGAGAAAGAGAGAGAAACACAGAGGGGAGTGAGCTAACAGCTGCAGGCTGAGCACACAGCTGTTGAGTGCTCCTTGCACACAGCCTGTCCACATGCATGGCAAAAGCGTGCATGCACGCTCCTCTTCCCTCTGCAAAGGTGGCATCTTTTCTTTGTCTGCTCCTGGGCTGGACCTGGCTCCACTTGCTGCTGCACCTCCAACAGAGCTGCAGCGCTGCTGGACCGCGGCAAGCGAGTGCGCCTCGCCTGGGCTGGTCTCACCATGGAGGTCCCAAGCTCCTGCAAGAACAGCCTTCGACGGATGCTCCTCTTCTGTTGGTTCCAGGCCGGTTCCACAGACAGCCACAGGACCAGGGCATTGTAGGCGCTCACATCTAACATGTTGCAGAAGAGCGACATGGGCCAACGTCTGGTCTTGCGGCGGCAGCTGTATGTTGCAACGAGCTGGAATAAAAATAAATGAATAAATAAATTACATATGCAATTAGGTTGGTGAATTATAATAAAACAAAATAAAATAAATAAATTACCTTGTCCAAGTTGTCAACTGCCCCTTTGCAGCGGTTGTAATCGATGATTACGGTCGGCTTCTGCTGCGGTCCCTCCTGGATCTGAACCTGATGGTGTTTGGTGCTGAGGAGCAGAACGTTCCGCCGGCGCTTTGGAATGTAGCTCACCGCGGTGGCGGTGGAGGTGAAGCCGAACAGGGAGGACAGAACCGCTCTGCTTTTCATCTGGAGCAGCTGTGGGGGCAACTCTGGCTTGTTGCGCCTAACTGTTCCCACAAGACAGATTTTTTTTTTTAGCAGCTCCTCTCCAAGAACCAGCGAGGTGAAAAAATTGTCCGTGGTGACAGTGCGGCCGCTCAGACCCTCCGTGAGTTCCAGCACCACCCGCTTCCCTTGCCCCCTTTCTGCCGGGGCGTCTCGAGTCGTCTTGCCCAGATAGGGAATAATCCCCCAGGCATAAGAAGTGGCCACATCGCACACCACCCACAGCTTGATGCCATATTTTGCCGGTTTTGAGGGCATGTACTGCTTGAAGTTGCAGCGACCTCTGAATCCGACGAGCTGTTCATCAACGCAGACATCTTCACCGGGGTTGTAGGCGAGAGGGAGCCGGGCCGCCCAGAGGTCCCACACTTCCCGCAGGGGAGCGAGCTTGTCCTGCTGCACCAACCGGCGGGCTGCCCTGGTCAAGCGGTCATCAAAGCGCAATGTTGCAGTCAGCATGTGGAACCTTCCCAAACTCATCGTGGCTCTGAATATCGGCCTCCCCGTTTCCTCCCCCCAGAGGCTGGCAGATGATTCCCCACGGGAACGGTGCACACCAGCGAGGATGAGCAACCCAAACAATGCCCGGAGTTCCACGCGGTCAACGTCTGTCCAATCGTCATATTTTCTTCTTCCCTCTATATTGGTGTATTTTATTATTACATCTAGGATTGTTGTAGTTAAAAAAAATCGAAGCTGTCCTCAATAGTTTGGATGTAGCTGACAGCGAGGCGGGTGATCCCACAATGGCGGACGTCTGGAGCCCGAAAGGGGATCCTGGTGTCGGGTGTCGGGGACCAGGCGATCCCGCTCTTTGATTGCCACAAAGGATGGTCCCATCTCTCCTCTGCAGCAACCACCTCCTCATCTGAACCTTCTTCCATTTCTTCCCCTGAATCAGGCCCTGGGGTAAAGGCCTGATCTTCAGCCTCTTCATCCGAACAAGAGCTGTCATCCGTGGATGAGGATGAGGCTGACTCTCCCTCTTCCTCAAGCTGCTGAAACACCTCCAGGGCTTCATTCACATTGAATCTTCTTCTCATGGTTGCGGTTCAAAGAAATGAATCCTGATCTGAGTCTCATATATGTACTTTTAGTCAATTGGTGCACCTGTGTAAGCTGCCCCTACTGAATGTAAACAAAATTCGATTCTGCAGGAATTTGTTTTGAAAAACAAATGTACGCCTTTGAAGTTTTTCAGCCTTCATCTTAGCTTTCATCCATGCAAATGCTTTGTACTTATTGAAATAACATTTTGCAAAAGTAAAATTGTGAATGAGTATCTGAAATTTAGCAGAAAATCCTTTAATTTTTGATATATAGCATGCCTTTGATGAATATTCATGAAGTCAACAGAGTGTGAGAACCTGTGCCCCCCCCCCTACACTCCCATGGCCCACACCTGCTCAACCACTCCAGATAATGATCACAGATCTGTCCTTTGAAGATCTGTAAAGTGCTTTGATACCTACATACACGCATGCCTGAACAATCACACACAAAGGAACACATGTCAAAATGCTATTTTGCAGAATAAGCTAATTTTGTACATTCAGTCAGGCTTATTTTTTGAAAGAACACTGAAAAAGCACAATTACCAAAAATTCAGAACACACACATGCAAACTATTGTATGGCATCTCTAAATAACACACAAACCATTTTTTTGCAAAATATGTATTATAACGGGCAGTCAGAGGTAAAGAAATGCAGCTAAATCATTCAGTTTAAATGCTGGGTCAGCCATTGCCCTGCTATATATGGAGAAAGTATGCCATGTAGTGAAAAACAGTAAAAACTGCTTCTTACATTTGTGATGAGACTGTAAACACGGGCACAATCATAATTTTTTAAAATTATGCCAATATTTATGCTAATTAAAAATATATGATTTACATGAAAGTCAATGGCACAAAAAAATGCTTCAATGTGCTTAACTGTACAAAATGATTTCCACGTTTTAATAAAGTAGGTTGAATATTTTTTCAAACTTTTTTTTGTAATTCCTTCCAAAATACACATCCTCCATAAAAATTAGATAAATTGCATTAACATAGCCAAAGTTATTCACAAAAATACACGTGTCAGCACAAAAAAATGCTCTAATGTGAGGTAAGGGTTAAATTTGTGGTTAAAAGTGCAATGTTGTCATTGATTCAGTGAACATCTTTAACTAATTACTTTTTTACACTAATTTAAAAGCAGTTCAGAAAACGTTTTATGTCTCAGTTGCACTTCATTTTATGCGTTTTGCAGAAAAACGCCAACCTAGCCTATTTAAAATGGCTGATACACAATTATCATTGCAGCGTATTGGTTTTAATTTCATTAAGTAAGTGTAGTTTTATTAGTGTTTGTAATGGATTCCATGAGTATGTGGCTTACTAAAAAGGATAAGCTGTACATTTTTTTCTTCTTTC